GTATTGATAACTATAGTTTTGTAATATAACTTGAAGTCCAGAATTGTGATACCTGCACCTCTGCTTTTCCTTTCTTCTGCTGACTTTAGCCTTCATTTGTTCTTTTTCTAGCTCCTCTAGATGTGAGGTTAGATTGTTTTTGAGATTTTTCTTGCTTTTTGAGGTAGGCCTATATTGCTCTCTTATGACTGCTTCTGCTGCATTATGACTGCTGCAGCCCAAAGGTTTTGGACTGTTGTGTTTTCATTTTCATTTATTTCCATGTGTTTTTTTTTAATTTCTTAATTTCCTAGTTGACTCATTCATTCTTCAGTAAGATGTTCTTTAGCCTCCGTGTATATGTGGTCTTTCCAAATTTTTTCTTGTGGATGACCCAAGTTTCATAGCATTGTGGTTGGAGAATATGCATGGTGTAAACTTAATCCTTTTGTATTAATTGAGGCCTGACCTGTGACCTAATATGTGATCTATTCTGAGGAAGGTACTATGTGCACTTGGAAAGAATGTGTATCCTATTGCTTTAGGGTGAAATGTTCTGAATAAAACTGTTAAGTCCATCTGGTCCAGTGTGTCATTCAGAGCCATTGTTTCCTTGTTGATTTTCTGCTTAGATGATCCATTCTTTGATGTAATTGGGGTGTTAAAGTCCCCTACTATTATTGTATCATCAATGAATTCTTTTATGTTATTGTTTTATATATTTGGGTGCTCCCAAGTTGGGGGCATAAATATTTACAATTGTTAGATCTTCTTGTTGGAATGACCCCTCTATTTTTTAAAAAGATTTTATTTATTTATTTGACAGAGAGAGACACAGAAAGAGAGGGAACAGAAGCAGGGGGAGTGGGAGGAGAAGGTTTCACGCTGAGCAAGGAGCCCGACACAGGGCTCAATCCCAGGACCCTGAGACCATGACTGAGCTGAAGGCAGACGCTTAACAACTGAGCCACCCAGGTGCCTGGGAATGACCCCTTTATTATGATACAGTGCTGTTCTTCATCTCTTGTTACAGTCTTTGGTTTAAAATCTAGTTTTTCTGCTATAAGTATTGTTACCCTGGCTTTCTTTTGACATCCATTGCCATGTAAACTGTTACTCCCTTCCCTCACTTTCAATTTGCAGGTGCCTTTGTCTAAAATGAGTCTTATCTGGCCTGCCAAGTTTCTGTGGAAAGATCTGCTGCTACCTTTGTCTTCCCTTGTAAGTTAGGGACTTCTTTTGTCTTGAAGCTTTTAGGATTTTTTCTTTATATTTTGGAAATTTATCTATAGGTCTTGGCGTTGGCCTACTTTTGATTCTGATGGGAGTTTTCTGTGCTTCCTGGATTTGGAAGCCTGTTTTCTCTCCCAGATAAGGGAAGTTTCCAGCTATAATTTCCTCAAATAAACATTCTGCTCCCTTTTTCTATTTTCTTCTTCTGGGACTCCTATGATAGGAATGTTACTATGTTTCATGGAATTACGGAGTTCCCCAATTCTACTTTCTGATCCAAGATTTTCCTTTCCCTTTTTTGATCAGTTTATTTTCCATCATTCTATCTTCTGTATCACTTATTCATCCCTCTGCTTCTTCCATCCTTGTGGTCATTATATCCAGTCAGTTTTGAATCTCAGTTATTGCATTTTTCAATTTGGCCTGATGGGTCTTAAGCTCTTTTATCTCTGTGTTAAAGGGGCCCCCTCATGTCTTCTATGCTTTTCTCAAGTCCAGCTTGTATCCTTATGATTGTTTTAAATTCTAGATCAGGTGTATTACTTATATCTGTTTCCATTAAAACCCTGGTCGTGACCTTTTCTTCTTCTTTTGGGATAAATTCCTCCACCTTGCCACTTTGTCTCAGTCTCTGTCTTCTACTGTGTGTTAGGAAGCCTATTATGTTTCCTGCTCCTGACAGTAATAGCTTTATGAAGAGGTCGTATAATGTTCAGGACCTGGTGCTTTAGGAAATGTCTGTGTGTATGCTGTGTGTACTCTGTTGCTGTGTTATGGCTCCTCTCTCCCTCAGGTCAGTCCTCTGCAGGGCTTTTGTCTGCAGTGGGGTGTTTGGACCTTGGCCAGAGTATGGCAAAATTTTAACTAGGTGTACTCTGGTCCGCTTGTTAAAAGAGACATGAAGCTATTCCCACTAGAGCTGAAGTTTCACAGTGCTCTATGATCAGTAGACTTGGTATATGCTGGTGTTTGTGCTGGTCTTCTGAGGGAAGGGCCAATGTGCTTGTTCTCAGACACACTTGCCTGAGGAAAGCAGTAACAGCAGAGTGCAGGGCAGCAGGTTTTTGTGTAAGCAATTTAAGCATCCAATATTGGTGCTGTGTTGTTAACCAAAGACGGTTTATGCTTAGATGTGGGGAAGCTAGCTCCTTTATTCCTGGAGAAGGGAGTACCTGCTCACTGCCATCAGGGAAGCTGTCCCTGAACAAATAATTTATCCTTGTATGTTGTAGGTGTTTTTCAGGTCGCTGTTTTCACTCTGTGTCTGGGTTGCTTGCCCACTTGAGCAGCATAGTGTACTTTGGGCTCTATTCCAGTCAGGCTGGCTAAGTTTAAAATTTTAAACTTTAGGGATCTGGCATGGTGGGGATCTGCACTGATCCTCTGGGGAAGGGTCTTGTGACACTAGGAACAGATGCAGGTTTGACCCTGAAGGGCAGTTGCATCAGAGTGCAGGAGCATGGGTTTGGAGCAAAATGCACTAAGGAGCCAGTGGCCAGGACACCTGCCCTCAGCAGGTATCTCTGTGCCTAAGCTGAGGGGTAGAGGAGAATGAGAGAACTGGTATGGTACTTAACGTTAGAGCCAGGGGTGCCTGGGTGACTCAGCTGGTTGAGCATCCAGCTCTTGATTTCAGCTCAGGTCATGATCTCAGGGTCCTAAGATCAAGCTCCACATTGGGCTCTGCACTCAGCGAGGAGACTGCTTAAGGATTCTCTCTCTTAAGGATTCTCTCTCTTCCTCTGCCCCTCCTGTGTTCTCTCAAATAAATAAATCTTTAAAAAAAAAAAAAAGGTAGTGCTAGTGCTTGGGTAACTTCATCTCCTTGAGCTTGATCAAATGCCAATGGTCACCAATGAGAGGTCAGACAAAATCTGAAACAAAGCAGATGAATTCTTGGAGACCCAAAGACATGAGCAAGCAAGAACTCCTTAAAAGGTTTTGAAAATGATATGAGGCCAAGGGAGGCCTCATATCAACCTGGGTAGAGCATGGGGATGGAACTTATCGTACTTCACAGGTAAACTTTAAGGAGGCCCCCCAAGATCCTTGCCTCCTGCCAGTTATACATTTGCAAAATTCCCCTTTCTTGAGTTTAGCCAGACTTATGACTTGCTTCTAACCAATGGAATGCAAAGGCGATGGGATATACATGACTGAATTTGCATGAATACCTAGGAGTGTAGCACCCATCTTGCTGGAGTTTCTCTCAATACTGGGTTTGAAGAAGCAACTTGCCATAAATCCTACAACTACAAGGAAATGAACTCTGCCAACAATCTGAGAGCTTGGAAGCAGATCCTTTCCGAATCAACACTCCGACAAGAACTCAGCCTTGTGAAACCCTAGGCAGACTAAGCCCTGCTAAGCCCAAACTTCTTCTTCTTTGTAATTTATTTTATTTAAATTTTTGTTAACTAACAGTACAATATTAGTTTCTGGAGTAGAATTCAGTGATTCATCCCTTACATACCACACCCAGTGCTCATCACAAGTGACCTCTTTAATAATCATCACCCATCTAGCCCATCCCCCACCTACCTCCCCCCATTAACCCTCCAATAACCCATGTTGTTGTTAAGATTCTCTTATGGTTTATTTCCCTATATACTTTTCCTCTTTTCCCCCTTCCCATATATTCATCTGTTTTCTTACATTTCACACATGAATGAAATCATATTTCATGGTATTTGTCTCTTTTTTCACTTAGCATAATACACTATAGCTCCACCCATGTCACTGCAAATATAAGCCCAAATTTCTGACCCAAAGAAATAGTGAGTTAACTATGTGTTGCTTTAAGCAACTGAGTTTGTTGTAATCTGTTACTCAGCCAAAGAAAATTAATGCACAGCTTATGCCCATGTTCGCCCTATAGACTTTTCTTCTTCTAGACAATTTTTACTTCTAAATATTCAACTTAACATTTAGGTCCTTTTTTCTAGTCATGGGCTGTTGAGGTTAAAATTACTTACCTAAATTTTATTAGACTCTTCGGGTAAAAATTAACCAATGTTCTTTTCCCCATTTTAAACAACATTAATATCAGTACAGTGAAAGAGATGGCAAAAAAAACTAGCAGTGATGAGCTTTTACTTACACAGCTACCCTCAACCTGCCTGCAGAAAGGACACATTTTGTTGTAGCACAGAGGTCTCTCTAATGAGAATAAGCTCCCTGAAGTTATTTAGTGTCCTTTGGCTTTATAGCCCCTCTAGGATTTACACATATGGGATATTCAGTAACTGTTGAATTAAAACTGTTTAAGCTTAGTAATTAATGATACCTGGGGTGCCTGGATGAAGCAGTTGGTTGAGCATCTGACTCTTGGTTTTGGCTCAGGTTATGATTTCGGGGTCACAGGATTGAGTACCTTGTTGGGCTCCACGCTCAGTGGGGAGTCTGCTTGAGATTCTCTCCCTCTCCCTCTGCCCTTCCTCCCTGTTCTAATAGATAAATAAATCTTTTTTTAAAATTTAAATTCCATTAGCCAACGTAAAGTACATCATTGATGTACAGATGCAGAGTTCAGTTATTCATCAGCTGCATATAACACCAATGCTCATTACATCACATGCCCTCCTTAATGCCCATTACCCACTTTCCCCATCCCCTACCCAGTTCCCTCCCAGCAACCCTCCATTTGTTTCTTAGAGTTAAGAGTCTCATGGTTTCTCTCCCTGATTTCTTTCCCTTCAGTTTCCCCTCCCTCCCTCCACAGTCCTCTGCACTGAATCTCAAGCCTATATAAGGAAGAATCACACCATGTTTAGCCAGTGAAAAGGACCAGTATTTAAAATATATTTTAATGAGAACACAATGATTTACATTTCTTAATACGAAACTGCTCTGGCCTTAGGACTTAACTTCTTCTTGGTCTATGGGGTTTAGATGCCACCGCACTAATTCCCCAGTGCTCTTGAGGCACATGTTGGACATGTCCTCCTCTGTTGGAAGTCCTTGGGGTAACTTCAGGGGCTTGATCCTGTAACATAAAAAAATGCTTTTAGAATTATACCAGGTAACACATTTTTTAAAATTGTTGAAGTAGCAAACAACAAACCTTATCAAATGTTTAACCACTTTCAGTTTTGCATTCACTGAAGGGATATTCTTGTGAACTTGAGGAGTATGTGCCTACAGAGAAAGGAAACCATGTAATGGATTGGATTCAGAACAGATGGTCCCATATTTCACCAAAATGTGAAAATGAAGGCCTGTTATGTCTAAATCAAAGTTTCAAATAAATTACACTAAATAATATATTTAAACAAAAGAAATAGTAAAAATACACCTTAAAGTTTAAGAATTATACAATTTAAAGCAAATTTAAACCTCTCATAAGATGACTTAAATAGTTGCATACTTTTTCTAGTCCAAGCATCTTTATTGTATCTTTTTCCCAATATGGACGTCTTTTTGTACTTTTTATTCTGGTAACAATATGCAGTTTATGAGGGTGCTGTGGATCCCCACCATATTTTTCATGATCTGCAGGTGAAGGCTGAAATACCTAAGAAGGAAAAATTATAAATGGTAAATTTTCAACTTCTATGTATCTATGTGTCTAAGTATCTTTTTTTTCTTAAAAAAAAAAAAAAATGACTACATAATGATCTCATCCCAAATCTTTCTGTAATCCTAGCCTCAAACTGAACATTTATACCCATCTGATTACTTAGATAGACAAAGTCTAATAATTTCATACTCTGAAAAAAGTATCACACAAAGATTGTTTTAAGACTGAAGCAGGAGCAATCAAAAGACACTAAAAAGTTCAAATGCCTGGAGACTGTATTAGCACTAAAAAAGCTCAGCACAGCTGCATCCTCCACCCCATTCAAGCAGGGGAACAAAGATAAGCTTACAATGACAGTAACACATGAGGATCATTAAAAAGTATGTACAAAGCACCAGAAGAGTACAAATGATTGCCTATGAAGGATTAGAAATGGGTCCACAGAACTGACTCTCTAAGAATCAAAAAGTTCCAGTAAGCTATCCCATGGAAAACTTCCCTACGTACATAAAATGTACTGAATAAGGATGTATATGGTAATACTATTTGTAATACTGAAAAATTTAAAGGTCACATCCGTGTTCCTCATAGGATAACTATATGAATTACAATGCATACATTCTAATAAAACTAAAATTAACAATAACAAAACCGAACAAAATATGATACGACTAAATAATGATGTATCCAATAGGATACAATGCTGCCATTAAAATAAGGTCTACTATCTTAGCAGCTACAAACTTTGAAGAATGGCCACAAAACATTCTTAAGCAAAAAATAATAATAATAATAAATAAAATCCATACAACCATGAGTAATAGGATTTTTTAAAAAAAGATTTTATTTATTTGAGAGAAAAAGGAGAGATAGAGAGCATGAGCAGGGAGAAAGGACAGAGGGAAAAAGAGATGCAGAGCCCCTGCCTGACACAGGACTCAAACCCAGGACCCTGGGATCATGACCTGAACCAAAGTCAGACACTTAACTAACTAAGCCACCCAGGCACCCCTGTAGTAGGCTCTTGGATTTGTTTCATCTGTACCAAAATACATAGGTTTGTATATATGATATATTACATAAATACTGATTCTAAGAAATCATATTATACACACACACACTTAGGTACCTATAAGGGTTTCAAAGATACTAGATTAAGAATCATACCTCCTGGGAATCACACACACAAAAGACGGCACTTTAATCAAAAAGCCTGTAATTCAGGGGCACCTGGGTGGCTCAGTTGTTAAGCATCTGCCTTCGGCTCAGGTCACGATCCCAGGGTCCTGGGATTAAGCCCCACATCGGGTTCCCCGATCAGCAGGAAGCCTGCTTCTCCCCCTTCCACTCCCCCTGCTTGTGTTTCCTCGCTCACTATGTCTCTCTCTGTCAAAAAAAGGGGCATATAATTCAATCATGAAAATAATATTGCAGAAACTTATCTGCTGAGAGGTTCCCACTATATTGCTAAATGAAGAAAGCAACTAGAAAAACATTATACATGAGATTATTCATATCTTTAAAAATATGAAACAGAAAACGATGTGGAAGATATTAACAGTAGCTGTGGTAGGTGGGATTAAGTATGCTTTTCAGTTGTTTTTGCTTGTTTGGATTTTCTAGGCGTTTTGAAGAGACCCAGGGTGAGAAGAATGGTGGAAGACAGAGGATGGGGCAGGCATCCCAAAGAAAAGGAGAGAAGAGAGAAAGAAACATTGTAAAGAGCATGGAATACTTGGGAAAATCAAGTGATTCTATGTGGCTAATGTAGGAAAAAAAACACGAAAAGCAATGTAGCTAGTATTTTCCGAAAGAATGGTATGTACAGATAAATCTAGCAGAGAAAACTCAAAGATCCCAAGTTGCAATATTCGATATAGAAGTGAACACAGAGCCACATGTCTGAGCAGGAAGAAGACTCACAGTTTTCTGAGGACAATGGTAATATGAAAACACAAAATATTAAGGCAAAAAACCATAAGCAGGAATAAAGAGATCCCAAGATGATAAAAACCTACTACTACAAAGGCCAGTAGTACATTTAAAAAGAAAAAAAAATCATTATTTAGATAAATTCCACCATGTTTTATTTAAACTCTACCCTGCCACCAACCTCCCCAAATTACTTAACATAAAAGTTATCAATATTACAAAAGCAGGTACCTTTTAAAACATCACATGCTTAAATAGTAACGTTAACCCCCCGTCTCCCAACACTTATTCTTACTTTATCTGGAATTCTTGACTTGGTAAATTTGTGACGAATCCAATCCATGTAAATAAGAGACTCCATACCTTTTGTCATCGTCTAAAACATGATATAAAACATTTTTTTAAAGAACTCTGTCTAGTGCAGAAATCCATACCTACCAATTTTTAGGTGACAAGTCTGTTTTTACTTAACCTATAATTATCAAACATTTATCTCAGCCCCTTAGCTGAAAGAATATATTTACCTTACCACTAACATTAGAAAGCAAAAAGCACATACAGAATTTGTTTTTTTCCCAAGATTTTATTTAAATTCCAGTTTGTTAACATAGTGTACTCTCAGTTTCAGGTGTAGAATTTAGTGATTCATCACTTACCTACAACAGCTGGTACTCATTGCAAGTGCCCTCCTTAATTCCCATCACCCATTTAGCCCATCCCCTCCCCTCCAGTAACCCTCAGTTTGTTCTCTAGAGTTAAGAGTCTGTTTTCTGGTTTGCCCCTCTTTTCTCATTTCCCCTATGTTCTTCTGTTTTGTAACTTAAATTCCACACAGGAGTGAAATAGAGACTTCTGACCAGGGGTTGCAATATTTTTCGGTAAAGGATCAAACAGCAAGTTATTTCCAGCTTTGGGGCTGCATGGTTTCCACTGCCAAATCTCAACTCTGATAATGGGGGAAAAAAAGCAACCCGGAACAGTATGTAAATAAGTGGGCGTGGCTACTTCCAATAAAGCCTGATTTACAGAAGTAGGTGGTGGACTGAATTTGACCTGCAGACGGTAGTTTGCCAACTCCTGCTCTATACAATGTGGAATAATAATCTTCAACAATACTCTGTAAAAAGAAATGAGTTTATGGTTTTCTTTCTAATCCCTATAATGCCATCACTCCTAGTTCCTATCTCTTTTTCCCCTTCAGCAATCTTCCGTCCTGTTGCTCTCAGTTGGCTAAAGTGAAAGGATTCACTGCCAATGCTTCATATCTGGAAACTCCTCTCTGGATGGGCAATATTCACTCCCTTCATGCCTTCTCTGTCCTGCAGAGACCCACACATAATTAAAGAGTAAAGTAGGAGTGAATGAGAAATGGAAAGGAAAAATATGGGCTTCTGATTCTGTGCTTATCATCTGTGAGAAATGAGACACTTATCCTCTCAGAGAGTCAATTGCCTCAGCTATTTCAAAAGGAAATAATACTAACACCACAGATTAATCTAAGGTTAAGGTAATGTATGTAGAGCACCTAACATTATTATCTATAGCCAGCAGCACACCTGTATCTAGACTCTGGTCCTCATGAACAGATTAGGCTGAGCTGCTTAATTTCTGTAAGAAAGACTAGAAGGAAATACATGAAAATACAAGCATAAATGGTTTCTGGAGAGTGCATTTCTTCTTTCTGCTCTTCCATAGTTTTTTATTTTTCTATGATTGAAAATATAATGTTTTCATAACTGAAGACAATAAACCCTTAAACTTTTAAAAAGATTAAAGGGAAATCAACATTGGACATTTTTTTACCAGCATGTTCTCTAGGAAAAGACCTTTTGTGATGTCAAATCCTTAGTGATAAAACAGCAGATAAATCATAAATAAAACTGACCCTCAACATTAAAAAAATACATATATAAAAAAAGGAACTTGTGCAGTTTAACTTGCCTGTTTTGTTAATTACAAAAGAGAAAGAAACAGTTCTTAAGGAATTTAAAAAAGAGAGAGAGAGAGAACTTGAAAAGAAACACTTACTTGGAGTCTGCCTGGGGGCCTCTGAACTATTGAGCGCAAAATCCCCGCCATGAGTGTGGTGACGGTTTTCTTCTGAGGCTACGACAAGCAGAAAATAGATCCATGGGTCAAATGTGTCTTGGAAATTGACAGTTAATTAAATTGGAAATCAAGTTAATTATAAACTTGATTTAAGTTTCACAGTGAAATCTTATTATTTTAATAAAATAAAGGTAAGAATTAAGTTAAAATAAATATGTTACTCGGAGTTCAGCAAAACCATAGGTAGTAACTATACATTAACCACATCCCATTTTTGCCAGATGAGTTAGAACCTAAGTTGACTCAACAAAAACGGGTAAAGGAGGTTATTATTATTTAAAAATTTTCTTCAACAATGAGCACAAAGAATGCTTTGTTATAGAATCAGAAAATGGAAGGGCTAGAAGGGACTGAAGAAATCCTGACTCCTAGAACTAGAGTGAACAACCTTCTTATGTGGAAAATGAATAATCAATCATTTACCCAAGGGCATCCAGCAATCCAAGGAGTATACGGTCTAGAGCCCAATTCTAGTTCCTAGACCAGTGCATTTTCACTAAATCATAACCCCTTTCTGATAAAAAGCAAACCATAACTTCCTTTTTTGCATATTTGTATTTTTAAACTATTCTTAAATTTCTATGATGTGAAGTCATGTTAATTTAGACACAAATAATTACAACTACTATACTGATATATACTGAAAACAGAAAAGATTAGGTTTATGAAGTACATGTATATTTTGGATAGGTTATTTAATTTGTGTGCTTCAATTTTTTCCCAAAAGAAAGAATATAATACCTAACTTGCAAATGAGTTATTCTAAAAACTCCTAAAACAGTATCTAGCACATAAGAAGCCCTCAATAAATGGTAGCTTTTACTATAACAAAAATATTAAATTATTACAAAACCGTAATAAGAATACTCTAACACACCAAAATAGGATATAATGCTGTATTTCAGTGAATCCACCAGATTGTGACTCATTCAAGCTCTGCAAGTCTTTCCTGTGATGTGGACAAAGCAATGAAGTTGTGGGAATCAATACAAGTGTCCCATTAAAAGAGCCAGACTTCAGAAAAATTTTTAGCTACTGAACCAGTCTCTCAAAATTAATTACATATTCAGTTTTAGAAGAGTTAACTACCAAATCCTTAGAACCATGAAAGCAGAATTTTGTCTTGTTCACTTTCTACTCTCAGCATCTAGCATAGTATCTGATCAACAGTAGGCACCCAGTGTTTGTTTCTGAATGTCTGAATCAAATAATGGGTTAGAGCTATGGTCTGTTCAACTCAGAATTCAGTACATCAAAATATCTTGACTGTCATTCCGACTTCAGACCTCAAACACTATCACACAGCATAACAATTTCTAGTTCAAATCAGCATCTAGTTCAAATCATCAGCCACTGCTTGGCTGGTGGTTTATATATATTTTGTATCAAGGCTCTTAGAAGAGATGCTTATTTAATCCTCCCACCCTTCAATCAAATAGGTTATGATAAAGTATTTACTTTACCATACTTCTTCCTCCCAAGTTAAACAATATACTAACCCAACTCATCTGGCTTCACACTTTGTTACTTTTTTATCACTTAAATTTCAACAAAAGCCTCCTCAATGGCCTTCTGGCTTCCATTCTAACTTCCCTAAGATCTCTTCTCCATGGCAGCAATCATCTAATTAAAATCCTAAATCAGATCATGTCAACTCCTTTTCTCAAAACCTTCCAGTGAGCCAGCCTTTCTCACCATTGGATTAAGAAGTAACATATAAGCAAGAGAAAAAGCCAGAATAAATCCATGTGATCCAATGACACAGATTAGAGTTTAAGCTCATGTTTAGCTAAATATAGTGATGGATAAAGAAATAATCACAGACACGTATGTACACATGGGTTAGCTCTGTTAGCTAAAAAGACCAAAAAGCAATGGCATCCCGGTAGCAGTAAGCGTACCCAGCACCCTGATCTTAGCATTGTCTAATAAAAGAAAAAATGGCTGATTGGAGGGCTACAGCAGGGAATATACAAACAAGAGCATCTTGTAGCATTAGAAAGGAACCCATCAAAAAATCAAAATGATGGGAGCATGTCAAAGGGACATAGGAAAAGAGCTCCCAGTGACTAAAGCTAGACCAATATAAGCAACAAAGTAAGTAACAAAGTATTGGCTTATAATCCAAACTATAAAATAACCATTTCCATACTCATATAAATGAAGAAGTAAATTAATGGGAGAGAACAAATCTCCCTTAGAGAATTCCAAATAACTTATGCAGATATTTCCCTCTCAAAAAGGTGGAGAAAAACCACTCATCTCTTAAGTATAAGCTATGCTTAATAACTTGCTCCCTGAGTACAGTATAGAAAGGGGGAAAATAACATTGTACTAGAGAAACCTCACAAACACTATGTCTGCCAGGTGATCATGGTTAATATCAACTGTTATAAAAGTCAAGCTAATAGCATGCACACTCGATAGGATGGAATGAGAATGGCACTTCTTGTCTGTGGTTTTCTTCCCCAAGACCCCTAACACAACACATCTGAGAGAAAAACATCAAACTTCATTTGAAGGACATTGTGAAAAATACTTGACCAGTACCTCGTCAAATACCTGAGTGCCTTAAAACTGTCAAGGTCACCAAAAACAAGGAAAGTGAGATACTACCATAGTCAAGAGGAGCCTAAGGAGCCATGACGACTAAATGGGATTCTGGAACAGTTAAAGGACATCTAGTAAACACTAAGAAATCTGAATGAAGTATGAACTTTGGTTAATGTTGTATCAATAGTAATTCATCAATTATAACACATATGTACCATACTAATGTAAGATACTAATAAAAGGGGAAATCAGGTGTGGAGTATATAGGAACTCTGTACTATCTTCATAACTTTCCCATAAACCTAAAATTCTTCTAAAATAAAAAAGTTAATTTATTAAATACCCAAAAGCTTTAATGCATGAGAGTGACAGCCAGTCCTTAACCCCCACCTCTAGGACTTCATCTCCAATCACTCTTAATCAATACACACATGGCCCCCTTACAGGTCCTCCAAGTTGCCAGGCAGCCAGGCTCCTTTGGACAGGCTGTTCTTTCTCCTGGAATGCTCCTGATATTCATACTTAAATCTCTTAGTTCCTTCAATTCTTGGCTCAAATCTTTTTCCAGTGGGGCCTACCTTGATTCCATTATTCAATATTTTGACGGACCCCCATATTGTCAGACTTCTTACTTCCCTTGATTTTCTTTCCATAGCACTTATCTTCTAACACAGTTTATTAGGTTTGTTGTTTACTGTCTGTCTCCACCCAGGAACATGTTAATGCCACAAGGACAATAGTTTTTATATTTTATTTTGTTTTTGGTCTGCTCTGTCTCTTCACAGAGGTATATCCCAAGTATATACCTAAAGCAGCACATGTCATGGACTATGCACACAATCGGTTTTTGTTGAACTAAGTTTAATTCACCGACTTCAAAAGGAGTAACAGTCAAAAGTTCTAAGTTCTAATAAAAAGTAAAGATTATTGTTAATAATAAGGCACACAACTCTTGGACCTTGAAGTAACTATACCATCTTCTACTGTACAATAACTTCTCTTGCACCGGTGCAAAAGAAGAATACATACGTCATGAGAAGTATGATCCCTTTTCCATTAAAAAAGGGAAAAAAAAATGTGTGTATATAGAGAAAACCTCTGGAAGGCTATCAGTAAGCAAAATGTTAACATACCCCTGCGGGGAAGGCTATCAAGGCGATTTTCCGCTCCCAGTTAATGTCTGAATAGTTTTAGACATCTATTTAACGACAAATGGAGGTTTGGAAACAAATGAAAATGCACAACACAGAATATCCCTTTCAATAAACCGAGATCTCTGAAGGCAATAAATGTCTCTTCTTGTAATTCCTCATGCCTATCAAATAATAGGCAGTCCTCCTCCTCATCCGCGCCTCCTGGCAAAAAGACACAGAACAGGCCGCTGTGGCTAGGTGGTGATCAAAACATGGTTGCAAAATTACAGGTTTTGGTAAAATGGTAAATTTTTTAACTGCCAACCCTGGAAGTTTTTGCCTTCTAAAATGCAATTAGGTAAGATTTTATCTTCATTAACAAAAATCAAGTTACGCTGACCCCCAGTGGGAAACCGAAATAATAAAACAGAAGCAAAGAACTGCTCAAACCAACCTGAATCCCCTGCCTCACTAAGCTATCCTGCCTAGGCGGCCCGGCCCTCGGGCTCCAAGAGTCGGGCTCAACAAACCGAGGGGCTCGGGAACTGGGAAACAGCATCCGGTCAACCACTGGCTTTTCGCGAGGCCGTGGGACAGTACATGGGCGCAGGGCCATTTAGGTTCCTGCGACCCGCAAACTCAGAATCCAACAGGAAAACCAATCGGCATCTCCATAGCGTTCCCACGTACCTACTCCAAGAAAAAATGCAAAATTTTCCGTCACTCATTCCCCTCTCACCAGCCACGGCTCAATCTGGTTCAAACCGAACCTACTCACCTAGTGTAAAGTGAACAGTGTTAAGAAGAGCAAGCGCTACACTCAACCCCTGCAGTCACAGCGCGCACCGATGCCGAAAACACGCACTTTTAGTTCCGGCTTTGTCCCGCCCACTCACGGGCCATAAAAAAGAGCGCAGGCGCACTGGTGTCACGTGCTCGCCCCCGGAAGCGCGACCGGCTGCCTGGGCTCTGGTTGGGTTTGGGGGCGAAGGAGAGTTTCGGAGCTATGGCGAAGTCCAGAAGGGAGGTGGATTCCCAGAGCGTGGCTGCGTTCACCGTGTTAAAGCGGGCGGTGGAGCTAGACTCGGAGTCCCAGTACCAGCAGGCTCTGGTTTGTTACCAAGAGGGGATAGACCTGCTCATGCAGGTTCTGAGAGGTGAGCAGGAAGCCGTGGAGAGAGGATTAGAAGAAAGGAACTGGATCCCCGTGGTATCTGGGGCGGAGTGAAAGTTGAAGATCCTTTCTGTGAAAGGAAATAAGTGCAGAAGGTTGATATTCTACAGAACAAGTGGACTGGTTTCTTTTATATCTTTAATAGATGTTATCAAATAAGAGGGACAGTACTCTCGATTTTTAAGAGACAGAATAAAATGTAATATATAAACTTTCATAGGACTAGTTTTGAGCAAAATGTAAAAGACATTTTTGGATCAGTTTGGAAAGTTTGAGTAACTTGGGTACTCAAGATTGGGTAACACTCAAATTACTGACTTTGTTAAGCAGTATGGTATTTTTGAAAGCTGTCTTTGGTTTTTAGAGATGTAGACTGAAGTGTCCTGGGAAGAATTTGTCATGATGGCTGAATTTAATTTTAAGGAAAAAAAAAAAAAAAACGGAGCAAATATGGCAAAATGTGGCAAATCTACATGATGGATAATAAGGGTGTTCATTACACTATGATTACTTTTCTGTTTAGACATTTTGGTTAGAAGTAAACAAAAATAAAATCATGTAGCAGTAAAAGAAAAGAAAAAACATTTGTAAGAAACGTGTGTACTGAATTTCAGCGGGAGAAATGCATAGGATTGTGGGTGGGGCAGCCAGACTTTATCTGTCCTGTAGTTACTCAATTTTGAGAAGTACCCAAACAACCATTAACAGCTAGTACAATTCCTGGCCTGTAGTAGACACCCAGTAATTAGGTATTAAACTGATTTTAGACTGGCCCCTGCTCCACACCCTCTGGGGCTCCCATTCTGGCCTAAGATCTCCCCATTGTGCCTTTTAGGGTAAGTGTTACAGAAGCTTTGAAAAGACAGCAGAGAGTGGGGTGATTTGGTCAGATCTGTAAAACTACAGGAGCATCTGGGTGACTCAGTTGGTTAAGCATCTGACTTCAGCTCAGGTCATGATACTGGAGTTCTGAGATAGAGCAGCCCACTGGGTTCCACACACAGCTAGCTGAGACTCTGCTTCTCCTTCTGCCCCTCCCCCATACTCATACCCCTCACCCATCCTGCGTGCCCATACTCTCTCAAAATCCAACCAAAAAAAAAAGAACTATAAAACTGCTTTGGGAAAGCTCATTTGATGATGATAATGATGGTGATGATAAGAGTAATTATCATTTATAAGTGCTGAGTGGTGGCACTGTGCGGAGTACATCAAAATCATGATCTTGTTTCATCCCTACAATTGCCCTATAAAGTAGGAGGTGATATCATTCTCATTTGCAGCATAACATTAAGCTTTTCAGTTCTACCACAATTAGTTGGGTCACAATTGGAGCCCAGAGTTTTAAAGACTCAGGTATACTGACTGCCAAAATGACAGTGTACCCTGTTGGTCAGGTGGAGCCCTGCTAAAGTTCTGGTGTTTTAGGATTTGTTTGTTGGAACACTGCTCAAGTTCTGGCACTCTGGGAATCTGAATCAGGAGAATCACAGTTTTGCTCCAGTGTGCTCTGCTGATTCTATGTGGAATTTAAGAAACAAACAAGCAAAAAAAAAAAAAAAAAAAAAAAAAGAGGGAGGCAAACCAAGAAACAGACTCATAACTATAGAGAATAAACTGATGGGAGTTTAAAAATGAAATTATTATGGAAAATATAAGCAATATCAAAAGGACGGAATGAAGAAACTAGAAGTGAGTTGGTGACTGGGTTTTGGGGGTGGGGCTTGGGGTAAGCTTTTATTGATAATGTATATTTAAAAAATACCTTACATTTTTGGGGTGGTTGGGAAAATGATTGAACATGAACTATAATGGGGAAGTCTGAAAGAGAAGCTGGTTTTGTGGAAGAAAGATAGATATTGTTTGCTGTGTTTTGATTATGCTAAGATTTCAGGCTTGTGGCTTATTAGACAAAATAGTTATCAGACTCAGGTTTGACATGTAATAAGCCCCCTTTGTCACCTCTCCAAATTTGGGGTCCCTGCCAGTGAGGCACAATTTCAGAATCTCGACTCCTATATAAAGCTGTTTCAGAGGCTTAGTGTAAAAAATGAAGGTCTTGTGTGATCAGGGCAAATTTGAGCCCATTTGTGCATTTTAGGACTGAGGCAAACCATGTCTAAGGATAGGAAATTTGTAGAAGACTTGAGAAACTGGAAATAATGCCTGTACTAACTAGAAAAATTCTTTGGAAATTTGAGAATGTATTTTTAAATTTGTAGGTACCAGAGATGACACAAAGAAATCTAATCTCAGAAAGCAAATTACTGGCTACATGGATAGAGCAGAAATAGTGAAGAAATACTTGGATCAAGAAAAAGAAGGTAAAGAGGCTGATTTACAGAATGTGTCTATAAGCTGTTGCAACAAAGCCCATTTCCTGCCTTGTTTTTGGCTCTGCCTTTTGGAACTCTTTGTGGTCTGGACCATTTAAGCCTAGAGGTTTACTCTGCATTTCCACTTCCCTATACATAATCTATTCTTAACCTTTTTTGGGGGATCCCGGGGGGAGGTGGTTTTCACATACCCTGTTGAGAATCTGACGAGAGCTATACATACTGCAAACTCTGCATGCTCCTTTAAGGAATTCACAGATCCCCATGAAGCTTAGTGTGAACTGCAGTTGAAAGAATACTGCACAGAAATAGGGAATGTAAATCCTATATTTTATTTGTATTTGCCTTTAGAAAAGGACCAAAATGTTGAAGTAGCTAAAGAAACTCCTGGGACCTCTTTAGGATTTTGCTGTGAATCAAAACATTTCAGGAGTTAAGTATTCCTAACGACTAGAGATGCCGTAGGTGTTCTTCTCTACTTAGTAGTCTTATTCTTGGCTTCAGCTCAGGTCTTGATCTCAAGGTTGTGAGATTGAGCCCTGTGTTGGGCTCTGTGTGCAGGCAGCATAGAGTCTGCTTAAGATTCTCTCTCCCTCTGCCCCTCCCCGCACCCTGCTCTAAATAAATAAATAAATAAGTAAAATCTTCAAAAGATCCATTTAAAAAAAAACAAACAACACATCAGTGGCTCCAGCCCTCAGCTGTTCTTCTTCACTGTCCTTATACAGCAACCCCCCACCCACCTTCCTAGTATTCTGTATGGGCCCATACCATGGGTATCTCCCTCCCGGAGCTCATCTGTGGGTTGGAATAAAATAGTGTTTTCTTCACCCTAAATTGAAATGTACAATGAAATTTCCTTTTAGAACATGGGTGAAATATAGTACCATCAGCATTGTGTTTTGAATACATTGGCTTGAAAACTGATGCATAGTTGCTAATATTATATTTGTGGAAACATTAGGAACAGAATCCAAACTTCTGGTTTTTAAATAAACTTTAAATATGCAACCATCATATAAATTAGGAACTGCCATTAGGGGTCATATTGTTAAAAAATCTTAAGGGTCTGTGATAATGAATTAATAATTGTTCATTTGGAAGGAACAAAAACAGTGGAACTATTTTACTGATCCTGTGGCATCCTAGTCATTGGCTTGGGTTGTTAAGAAGTGCTATGAATTTCTGCGTAAAATATTCTCTGTAAGTTCTAAGAAAGACTTCTAAACTCCATATAATACTGCATTTACATGTTTCGTACTTTAGCTATTAAATTGAGGATATAAAAAGACTTAAATCTGAAGAGGACAAGGTAGCCCCTGAGTTCTAGCTTATGGTTCTACTCACGGTGACAGAATGTCAGCTGTCATACATCTAGGCTTCTCTTGAATCAACTGCCTGGTCTATAGGATTCGACTCAAGAACATGTTCCAGGAAATCTCTGGAACTTTCCTACTTGGCATCCATGAAGATAGAAGTCACTTACGGAATTGTTTGCGTTATTTATCTCTGTGTATAGCATCTTATATTATCCCTCGTATATCTGTAGTAGGTATTCAGATATGTTTGCTGAGTGGAGAAGTTAAGAAAATGAACTCGTACCTGATCCTGATTAATCACTGTATGTAAATATGTGTAAAAAGAAAATAAGTGGTCGCTGATTTTATTATTATTTTATTATTGATCTTTATTATTATTTTATTATTGAAATTATTATTGAAACAATTATTGTTTTGTAGATGGAAAATATCACGAGCAGATTAAAATAGAAGAGAATGCAACAGGTTTCAGTTATGAGTCGCTTTTTCAAAAATACCTTCATGAAACAGTTACAGAAGTTTGGATACAAGATCCTTATATTAGGCAGATTCATCAGGTAAGTGAAGTGTACAAAAGTATGATGAAATGTTATTTAAAATGTATGAGTTAATAATAACCTATCCCAATGTCTTTCAGCTATATAACTTTCTTCGATTTTGTGAGATGCTTATTAAGAAACCATGTAAAGTAAAAACTATTCATCTTCTCACCTCTCTGGATGAAGTAGGTATCTGGAAGCATTTACTTTCTTTGTTAACTTTATTCAGTTACGAGATGTAGTTTGAGTAAGGAAAATGTGGACACACTTCAGCTAGAACTATTTCTTTGGGAATTATCTAACAATAGGCCTAAAATACCTGCCAAGAAATATTGTTGATTTTTTTCTGATTTTGTTTTACCTTGGTTTGGCCACTTTGCTAAACTCTCAGATTCAAGTAGCTTGTCAGTTTAGTCTCTTATATGTTCCAGGAGATGATCACATGCCTGCACTATAGGTAATTTT